ATAAATACGTATATTTTTAATAAATCTTCGATCGATTGCCAGCGCAGCACAAGAATCATGGAAAAAATCTTTTCAAATTTTTTTGAAAAAAAATGATTGTACGATCAAAAATACAAGCATTCCAATCAAATGCATTATTAGTAAAACTTCAGCTACCCATTTTACGTTTCTTTCCAACTAGTAAAAATTAAATTAAAAATTTTGTTTGAATTTCGATCAGCAAGCTTATTCCATTCATTCCAAAACTCAAAACTTAAAATGTATGTCAACATTGATTTTTTCCAATTTAAGCAAATATTTATTGATAATCGCATATTTTCATATTTGTTCAATTAGCCTAAACTTGTCAAAAACTTGTCAAATCGACAGATTCGACTCCCCAAAAATTTCTATATTTCAATATTGAGAGTAATATATATGGGTTGAAAGTTTAAATCTGTCGATTTGATAGATTTTCGCGTACTCATTGATCTTTACCTCATCATCTATGAAAGGCCTTAAATTAGACTTCTAAACTGTCCTCTCCTATATTCCAATATTTGAAGCATTTATTTTGTGTTTATACTCATTTTTATGTGATAACCATCAACTAACTATATGTAATATAAAGTATACTAACAATAAACAAAAGAGCATAATCTCCATTCGAGCAACACTTTAAAATTTTTATAGCAAATAAAATTTAAAAAAGATCCAGCTGAATGAGAAATAATTTCCAATTACAAAACACCATTGTTAGTACCATCAAAATTTTTTAATGCTTATTTTTTAGAAATTAAAAGTGGAAATGTAACATTCTTTGAAATTTATACCACAGATATGAAAGATAAAAATATACATTAGGTTTATGTACAGCACAACTGTCTCAAATGGATCGAACATCCGCGGAATGATTTAGAAGTGATGCTCGTAATTTTTATTTTGTTTATCTTCTCGATGTACGCTGTAGCGTATGTCAGTGGAAACTGCCGATTGTTCGGAATAACAGATTGGAAAGTGTATTCCGTCTCCTACGTGGGAATCCACGGGAAATGCCCATAGACCCCAACCGAATACAGCACGTAAATTGCGATATGTTCCCACATTATAATCAGCATTTGAATCTCCTCTGAAATATTTCTCAGATTCTAATTTCAATTTTCAACTTTAAATTAGGCAATAATTTTTTGCCTATTAAATGAGCTTATCCCAAATCCCGTAGAATGAATTAGAGAAGAGAAAGAGAAAGGGAAAGAGAAAGAGAAAGGGAAAGAGAAAGAGAAAGGGAAAGAGAAAGAGAAAGGGAAAGAGAAAGAGAAAGGGAAAGAGAAAGAGAAAG